CATTTTCAATTCATTTGAGTAAATATCAAGGAATACAACTGTTGAATCATATGATAAGAGTATGTTTAGTTTTGTAAGAAATTGCCTGTCATCCAAAGTGGTGTACCATTTTGCATTCCCACTAACAATGAATAAGAAAGAGTTCCTGTTGTTCCACATCCTCACCAGCATTTAGTCTCAGTGTTTTGGATTTTGGCCATAATAGGTGTGTAGTGACATTCACTATTTTAATTTGCAATTTCTGATTATATATTATGTTGAACATCTTTTCATATGTTTATTTGCCTTCTGTACATTTTCTTTGGTGAGGTGTCTGTTCAGATCATTTGCTTAATTTTTAAAATTGGGTTACTTGCTTTCTTATTATTGGGTTTTAACTTGTTTGAGTTTGTATATTTTGGATACTAGTCCTTTAAAAGATACGTGTTTTTTTCTCCCAGTCTGTAGCTTTTCTTTTCATTCTCTTAGCAGTGTCTTTGAAGAGCAGAAATCTTAAATTTTAACACATCAGCCTTTCAATTACTATGAAAATAAGATGTGAGAGACGTTGCAAAAGTTTGTTGATTACTGGAAAGATTGGATTGAATAACTTCCACAGTCTCTTTTGACTCCAAGTTTTTATGGCTCTTAGGAAAGAATAAGAGTATGTTGTGGATTTTTCTCACATGAATTTTAGGGTCCCCGTCCCATTATAACATTAATGTGCACTAGTTTCAAAATTTTTAGAAAATGTAGAAAGGAGGGAAATATGATATTTTTAAAAACAGAGTGGCATTGCCCTGGCCGGTTTGGCTCAGCGGTTACAGCGTCGGCCTGTGGTCCAGAGAGATCCGGGTTCAGTTCCCACTAAGGGCACGTACCTCAGTTGCAGTTTTTCCCTGGCCCTGGTTGAGTCGTGTGGGTGGCAAGCACTCACTGTGTCCCTTTTGTGTAGATATTTCTCTCTCTCTCTCTCTCCCTCTCTTCTTCCCACTCTATCTGAACAAAAAATGGAAATATGTCCTTGGGTGAGGATAAAACAAACAAACAAAACAGAGTGGCATTGAGAAATTAGAATAGTTTTGGATGACAAACAAAAAACCAAACAGGCATGCTTGTAATCTTGCATTTCATTGATTGCAACTCAACAGGTCTCCATCTTTTCTCTACTTCAAAGGTTACATGGATAGAAAGACAATAATGTGGTATATAAATAATTAACTTTTTAAAAACATTTAACAAGTTAAATGTTACCAAAGTGTATGAATTAAAAAGTGATGGTCTCCCTCCATCCCATCCTTCTAACTGTAATTATTTTCTGTAGAAACAAAATCTTTATAACCATGCATACCTATTTACACACATACGTACAGCTTAATGAGTCAAGGATCACCTCTGTCTATCTTCACATACATCATTGTAAACCTATGCATACCATGGAGCTTGGTTCACAGAAGGTGCTGAATTGAATGAATAAATGTAACACTCTACATTGTTTTGTAGGTGGCTTTAACATTTTTAAAAATAATGTAACCTGGATAGCTTTCCCTGTTAGGACATCTATAACTACTTCATTCTTTTCAATGGCTCCCAAATAATCCACTATATGGATTCACTATAATTTGTTCAGCCAGTCTTCTATTACTGGATGTTAGGTTATATTTATTTTTACACACACACACTACAAACAATATTGTGGTAAGTATTTTGCCAAATTATCTTGTAAAAAAGTTATTCTCTCACTATCAACGCATGTGAGTGTCAATTTCTCTACATCCGTGCTGGGGATGATAGCCAAAATTACATATTATCAATCTTTGTTATTGCTTCTAGTTTTGTTTGGAGTAAGAATCCATATAAGGGAGTAAGAATCCAAAATAGCAGGCTATTTTGCTGAAAAGAGAAGTTAGGGTCCAAATGGGGAAAATCTTTTATTTATTTATCTTTATTAAAATTTTTTTTTCTTTATTGATTTTAGAGAGAGAGGAAGGGAGAGAGAAATATCGATGAGAGAGAACATCAATTGGCTGCCTCCTGCATGCCCCCCACTGGGGATTTGGCCCATAATCTGGGCATGTGCCCTGACCAAGAATCTTGGTGCATGGGTCAACGCTCAACCACTGAACTATACCGGCTGGGCTCAAATGGGGACGATCTTAAATAGCAAAATGAGAAGCCAGAGAAAGAGTTTGAGAAAAATTTTTATACATTATAAAATATTCGAGCTAAAAGAGACCTTACAAATTACATTTCAGTACACATCTTTTATAGATGAGGAAATAAAAATTCTGAGAAGTGAAATGATTTATTCAAGCTCACACTATCAATTAGTAGCAGGTCTGAGTTGTTTGGATCCCAGCCTATTATCTTTTGGTTTTATTCAGCAAATATTTACTAACCATCAAATCCTGTGCTAGGTACCAAGAGGATTCAAGAAAGTAAGAACACATTTATTGAACACTTTTCTTGCGCAAGATTTTTCATATTCAGTCTACCCTAGTACGTCTATCATAACAAGTGAATCAATCAACTAGTTTGAATTTTTTTTTTAAGTTTTATTAGTGATTCCATATGTTTCGGTAATAGTTGTAATTCTCGGAGTCAAGCCTGGAATAAGAAGTTCTGTGGGTCAGGAGGAAAATTATACTATTGTTTCATTTAAAAATGTGTCAAATGGAGAGCACGGCTGATTACTTTTTTTCTCAGGCCTGCTCAGGGCATCAACTTCTCCATCTAGGCCCTTAGTATGTGCAAACCTGAGAAATCCTAGAACTGAGGGAAGGCCGGCAGAAGCCGAAAGAGTGGCTGAGATGTGGCTGGAAATATAGGTGAAGCAGATCATGGAAGTTTTTGTTGATCTAATTAAATATTTTGGCTTTAGTTCTAAGTGTAATGGAAAGCTAATGAGTGGTTTTAAGTAGATGCTCTGTAGGACTTATTTGGGAAGGGAGGAGTGGGAGAGTAACACAAACACACAGACTTGGGTTTTGAATGGATTAGGAAAACTGTAAGAGTGGATGAATCAGTAGGCTATATCATTACTTCAGATGATAAATGACAGTGCCTTGGTGCCCTGTGCCCTGGTTGTAACATAGCAAGAAGTGTAAATGTATTAGAGAGACAATAGTAACAGGACTTAACTGATACTGCATTGAGAAAAAGGCAGTGTCTTGAATTACTCTCTGGTTTCCAGGTAATGCTGCTGGATACAAATGGGTGATATGGGAACTGGGGAGAGGAAAGAGTAGAGGAAGACCATGTGCTCAGTTTTTTAAAATGTTGATATACAGTACCTGACAGTCCAAATAAAGGTCTAGGGGATGGTTACACAAAGGAATTAAAGCTTGCTATTTTGCTTTGGGGGTTTTTGGTAATCTGGTAGATGGCAGTGCCTAGGTAGAAGCACTTTCAGACATTGATTTCCTCAGGAAGGGCTAAATAAAAAGCGTTGGATTGTTCAAATCTATTATATTCATTCTCTAATCTATATGATTATTCTAGTTTATCACATTTTTATAGTAAACATTTTGGCTATTTGTTTTTCATTTATAACATATCTATGACTTTTAGATTATGAGCCAAATTGTTGTTGAGTTTCCTCAATACCATTGCAGGTCCAGGTTTGTGATTTTAGGTAGTGATCTCAGATGCTTGCTAAACACATTGTGTAGTTATTACTTTGGTAAGTATTTCATGTTTTGATTCAGAAACCTATGAAAATAATCTAGCATTTGATGTGCTTAGGCACTTTGAAGAGTGCTCATCGAACTTTTACTGGAATTTGTTGTCACAGCATAGAGCTTATTTAGGGAACCAGTGAGCTCTTGAAAAGAAGCTTCTTTTTAAATTAAAAGGAGTTTCTATTTTTCATTAGGGCTACATTGGATAAAATTAGTATCCATCTCGCGTTTGAAATTCAAATACCTTTGTCTTGTCTCTCGTGTAACAAGTAAACCGGTTACAAAGGAAATGTCACTTCACATAAGATTTAGTTGCCAAGATTTTTGAAAAGAAACCGATATGTTCCTCACAGCTGCCCTAACCACGCAGCTTTGTGTGGCTTCAAGTTGCTCAAACTGTGCTACGAGGAAGCCCTTAACTGCTTAAAAGGCCAGGGACTGAAATGGAGTATTGCACAACTCTTCACCGGGCGGTTTTGCTTCCAAATCTGGCCTTCGTATCATCCCGAGACGGGAGCCAGCGCCGCTCCGCTGCAGCCAGCCCCGTTCCCCCTCGGAAGCGGCAGGGGTTTCCCAGTCGAGCCTCGGACGCCCCTCCCTCTGCATGGCTTTCTTGAAAGCGAAGTGGCGCGGGGCCCCGGGAGGTCCCATTGTCCAGCGGGGGAGACCGGGTCTTCCCGGAACGACCCCACCACTAGGATCCCGCCAGCCAGGTTGACCTAAAGTCCGCGGGTCTCCGCGCCGCTCCCCTCCCCCGCCGCCCCATTGTCTGCCTCGCCCCGCCCCGGGGGACACGTGCGCTTGCAGCTTCGCGAGCGAGGCGAGCGCGGGGCGGCGGCGGCGTGGACACCGCCTGGAACGGCTACGCGGCCGCGGCGCTGGGGCGGGGGCCCGGCGGGCACGGACCGGTGGGTGCGCCTCCCCCGGGAGCTGCAGTCGCCGGACCCCCGGCACAGGGTCTCGCGCGCCCAGACTCGGGCCGGGGGTGGGGCGGAGGGTGCTCAGCGGGGCCAGCGTGCGCGCGTTGCTGCTGAGGGAGTCGGGCGGGGCGGGGTGGGGAGATGCCTGTCTCCTGACAAAGGAGAACGAGTGGGACACGCTGAGCCGGCCCGCCCCGCCCCGCCTGGAGGGGAGCGGGAGGAGGAGTGTCGGGAGGGGAAGGGGCGGGCCTTTCATTCACTCTCGGCCCCTCTGCCGCCGCCGGAGCGGAAGGGCGGGGTCTCGTGGCCCCCAACCTCCCTGGGGTGAGGAGCAGGGGAGGCAGAGGGGCGTGGGGGCGGAGCCCTTAGGCGCGCGTCCCGAGGCGTAGGCTACGTCGTCACGTCAGCGCGGGAGAGAGAAAGAGAGGAGCCGACTCGGCAGGGACCGGGAGACGGGGCCGAGAGAGCGAGGGAGGGAGTGAGCAAGCGAGCGTGCGAGCGAGGAGGGGAAAGGCGGCCAGTCGTACCTGAGCGGCCGCGGACGGGAGTGGGAGAGGTGGGGAAAGGAGCAGGGAGGGGAAGAAGAAAGGCTGAGAGAAGGAGGTGGACAGAGGCGGCTGCTGCTGCTGCTGGTGGTGCTGGTAGGGGTGTTAGGGGGAGAAGGAGGAGCTGGAGGAGGGCAGGGGCTGAGGGAGTGAGTGAGAGAAGCGGACGCGCCAGGGAGGGGAGGGAAGGGGGGTCACGCGGGGGCGCGCGCGCACAGGGAGCGCGCTCGGAGGCGAGTGGAACTGGATCGGGTTTGCTGCCAGCGGCGTGAGCTTCGGCCGCCATTTTACAACAGCTCCACTCGCGCTGGACACAGGGAGCAGCGAGCACGCGTTTCCCGCAACCCGATCTCCTCGGACAGGATTCCTCCGCCGCAGCCCAACGGGGAGGTAACGACCGCCAGGACCCGGGTCTGGGAGGGGAGCTCCGTGACATTGTGGAGTGAGCTGGGGGAGGGCGGTGCGGGGAGAAACCGGCATTTCTGGAAAATGGATTCCAAGGAGGAAAGGAGCACGTTGACTGGGGCTGCTTGGGAGTAGGCCGCAGCCCGCGCCGCCACTTCCTCTACTCCATGTGCTGCCACCGTTCGGGCTTTGTCTGCGGCGCTCCAGGGAGGAGGCGGCCCCGTGGCCCGCGCGGACCGCGAGCGGCGGCGGAGTTGGTGCTGTCGTGGCTGTCGCCGCGGCGCGGGAGTGGGCGGAGAGGAGCTGCTCCGGTCCCGCAGCCGGGAGGCGGGCTTGAGTGGTACTCGCGGTCCGGTTGGCGTCGGGCAGTTCGCGGAACGCCCTCACGCCGTCGGGTTGTCCGGGGGTGGGACAGCTGGCCGGGGCGCTGCAGTCACTGTACGGACGGGAGAGGGGTGGGGGCTTGCACCGCGCGCTGCGGCTCGCGTCGGGCAGGCGGGCGGCCGGGGGTCGCCGGCACCCGGGGCGGAGAGAGCCATGTGTCACGGTGGAGACGGCGGCGCTTGGGGGGTGGGGGGGCTTTGGCCTGTCGCTGACGCGGCCTCGGTGTTGAGGGGTGAGGTTGTGCTGCTGATGCTTTCCCGGAACTCAGACCGCGGCTTCGGGTTGATGTTGGGAGCCGGTGACGGTCGTCCTGGCCTGGGACTCGATGGGTTTCCGTTGGAGGAAGTTGTAGGACATTTGAAGGCGCAGAGCACGTGTTTCTAATGGGCTCCTGGTGGCCTTAGCGGTGAGGCTGCCACTCTGGGTGTGGAGTCGGGGGCGGGCTTTGGGGTGCGGGGGTGAAGGGTGGAGAAATTGGGTGGTGGGAAGGTATCTTGTGTGAGCGCTTTGTTCTTCGCTGGCTGTTGTTACTGATCTATAAGCGGCAGGCGGGAAAAGCGCGCACTTTGGGGGTTTACCTTTGAGAGGGAAAAGCCCAGCTTTGCTTTATCCACGCACACCTCATTCTCTGTGTGGGCACAGCTGCATGTGGCACGCTGGCTGGTCCTCGTGCTGATTGGGCTCCATTTGTAATGTGGTTTTTCCTAGGGAGTGTTAGCAGGTGAGTCAGGGGTGGTGCTAAGGAAAAACAAGTGAATCCGTCCTTCTGTGCCCCTCGATCATCAGGCTTGTTAGGCGATAGTGACTTTAAGGCTTCTTTAAAGGGAGGCATAGGCTGGCTGGTGTAGAAATTGGTAGAGAAAGGAAAGATTGGGGCTCTCATTTTGTCCTCTACCCTTTTTGAAGATCCTAGTTTAATTTTGCTTATTGCGTTTGAACAGATCTCTGGAAACATGGCTACAGAACATGTTAATGGAAATGGTACTGAAGAGCCCATGGATACTACTTCTGCAGTTATCCATTCAGAAAATTTTCAGACATTGCTTGATGCTGGTTTACCACAGAAAGTTGCTGAAAAACTAGATGAAATTTACGTTGCAGGTAAGAACTAACACTTGCAAAATTATATTATGAAATTTTTCTATTGGATTTCTGGCTTTGAGCTAAAATAGCAACTTTTTGTGGTTTCCAATAAGTGTGGGAACTGGAGTTTTGTTTTGCCTTGTTGTGATAGCTGTGAACTAGAGTTTAAGGTGTATTGTACATAGTAGAGGGAGGGGAGAAAGAAAGGTTAGGAGGTAAAGGCTGGTTGGCCCGGTGGATAAGTATATGATGGTAGTAACAGCTGCTAACTGTTGGGAGCAGGCCATGTGACTTTTGGGGGTATTTTTATAGTAGGATTCTTGTTAAATAATTTGGTAACTATAGACTTGTTGTCTGTCTGTTTTGGTGAGGCTGTTGGTTTTTCTAGTGGTTATTTGAAATGGACAGTTGTCAGGCTTGGTATTTTGTTGGTTGATTATAAGATTTGTAAGCCTATATATTTACTGTAGAAATACTCAAGTGTTGAGAACTATCTGACTTAGAGAACAAGGTGTAAAAGCAATTGACTCATTATTGTAAGTGTCGTTGAGGGGCCTTCTTTAGTTCACAGTGCAGTTCAGAATGGCTAAAGTATGTGTGTTTTTCATTATGTAGATGGTAAGAGGAATTGAAGAATATTTAGCTGGTGCACATATTGTCTGCATTGGTAAACATGGTATTTTCTTTTTTTAAAAAGTCCAAAAATATTAAAAGTTGACAACTAATTAAGTTTTCTCTTCCACAGGGCTGGTTGCACATAGTGATTTAGATGAAAGAGCTATCGAAGCTTTAAAAGAATTCAATGAAGACGGCGCATTGGCAGTTCTTCAGCAGTTTAAAGACAGTGATCTCTCTCATGTTCAGGTAATACTAATTTAATGTCAGTGTAAAAATAAAAATCTTGAGTAGTTTTGGTATAGTTTAAGTTTGATTTAATAAGATACAGATAACATAATTATTAAATAGGATTGGAAAATTACTTTTCAGAACAAAAGTGCCTTTTTATGTGGAGTCATGAAGACTTATAGGCAGAGAGAAAAACAGGGGACCAAAGTAGCGGATTCTAGCAAAGGACCAGATGAGGCAAAAATTAAGGTATGTCTTAAAAAAATGAACTTTGCTCCCTTTAGTTTTAAAGTTCTTTGAACTGTTTTATAGCTTTAGTAACTATCCTTTGGATGTGAAATGAGTGTTTTTTTTTGTTTTGTTTTTTAAGTTGTTGAGAGGTAATGACTGTGAGATAATTTGCTTATCTTTTCTAATTACTATTTTTTGAAAAGTTTTCTGCCTTTAATTATTTGTTTTTAAGACAATTTGCTCTTCTTAAGTTTTAGATGCTTTTTTGAAAATATGCAGGTCCAGGGTACTTACAGTGGAACCAAAATGAGAGGGGTTCAGTTCACCCCATGCTGGTGGAGAGTGTACATTTTGCAGTTGACTGCTTTTCTTAGGATTCTCAAGCCCTCAAATGAAATGGATTTAGAATTGTAATACCTTTTCTTCCGTTATTATGGGTTATTAATTTGTTCATTTCTCAAAGCAGTGTGGAAATGTAAATGAGACTGAGGCTAAGAGTGGAAGTTTTTTGTTTTCTTTTTAAAGGTCCTATGAAACAGTAAATGACTTCAATGTCAAGTAGGTTTTAATGTTTTGTAGAAAGTGTGGTGATCATAATAGTTTTAACCTGGTGTTCTTCATACAGTGTGCCAGTGCTCTTGAACCAAGGGTTATATTTAAGAAAATGAGTTATTCAGAACAGTATAGGTGTTAGGTGGTGGTTTAATGGTATGGGAAGAGTGAAGCTTGGAATATGGAGTTACCAGTTAATGTCATCCATAAATTGGAGGTGTCAGTGAATTGTGTTTGAACTATAAGTCTAATTTTTCCATAGAAATTTTACCAATTGTAATTAAATCCACACTAGGAGTTGGAATTATTAAAATTTTATAAAACGTTTAAAGTGTAAGTGGTGTGACTTTTAGTTCTATCTTTGGAAGGGGGGAGTGACTTAAAGTGTTAGTGTAACTTAAATTGTGGCAAGAAGGCAGTGGCATTTTTATAGGTTGGTGACAGAGGGAATAAGTTTTCTTTTTTTTTTTTTTAGGGATTGACCTAAAAGGTATTATTTGGGTCGTATAAAAGTTAGGATAAAAGAAGCAGAGGGATTATATGTGGGGAAAAAGGAAGATGAGCAATTTAATGGTTTAGTTTATGTGATAGTAATAGATATGAGTTTATTTTTGTCACTAACCCAATGTTGTGCCTTTAAACAAACATTTGGGTCTAATAGAAAATATTTTAATACTTTGTGGACCTTTTTGTTAGAGTTTAGGAGTAGAGTTTTTGTCATTTACAGTATACGTTTCATAAGTACTTAATGTTCTTTGAGTAGAAAGTGTTTAAAATGTGTCTGGTCATTTTTAGAGACTGAGGTGACCCCAAATTATTTAACAGAATTTGGTAAGTTATGTGCCTGGTGTGTTTTTATTTTATAGTTTATTAGCTAATTATTAGATTGGTTTTAACTATTTAGAAAACTGGTTTTGTGCTTTGTGGTTTGAGATGGTAGCGAAAGAATAGTTCTTGTTTTTTTTCCTTAGGCTAACTGTGGAGAAACTCCTAATGCTCTGAGTAAATGAGTTGTGTAAATTTTAACAGTTCACTTTCAGGGAGATAAAATGTAGAAATTATGTCACATTGTTGCAATTTTGTAAAGTTTTCAGTCATTTTGCTCTTATTTTTTCTGAATGACCAATGCTATTCTGTGAAATATGGTACTTGAATGTCAGATGAAGTTTCTGGACTTAGTTTGAGGAGTGTAATTTCTATAAAGCTTGGCAAAATGCCCACAATGGCCATGTGTACTAGGAGTGAGGGGTATAGGGAATTTATTGGATAAGAAATCCAAATTTGGAGAGATGTCTTATCCAGTTTCTCCTTCAGGAAATAATTAAACTCAACCATTTTTTAAAAATAGATTTTATTCCACTCGTTGATGCTTCCATTGGTTCTTATATGTGCCCTGACTGGAGATTGAACCTGCTATCTTGGTTGTATGGGAATGACACTCTAACCAACTGAGCTACCCGGCTAGGGCGGTGCAGTAAATTTTTTTAGGAGGTATTAGAATAGAGATGTACCATGCCTTGAAAATTGTTGATGGATTAATGTTTCCTGTTGTTCACTAAATACACTCAATAATTAGAGACCAACAGGATCCTGAGATTTTTCACTATAAATTAGGGCTATTACAAGTGTACATTTAAGAAGAAATTCTAAAACAGATCCCAGAAACCTATTTGTAGGAAAGTTGCCAAGATAAGTGGAAAAATTTGAACAGAATTGATTTGGATTTTTAATTGCTAAATGCATGAGTGTGATCTTGTGAATTAAATGTATTAATGGCATTTGAATTCTTCAAGGCACTCTTGGAAAGAACAGGCTACACACTTGATGTGACCACTGGACAGAGGAAGTATGGGGGACCACCTCCAGATTCCGTTTATTCAGGTCAGCAGCCTTCTGTTGGCACTGAGGTAAAGAAACTAAAAACTTGTACCTTTTGTGGTAAATGCACAGGTGTCTGGTTTCCTAAAGAAACTCCATGGTTTTTACTTCATATTTAATTTACAGATATTTGTGGGGAAGATCCCAAGAGATCTATTTGAGGATGAACTTGTTCCATTATTTGAGAAAGCTGGACCTATATGGGATCTTCGTTTAATGATGGATCCACTCACAGGTCTCAATAGAGGTTATGCGTTTGTCACTTTTTGTACAAAAGAAGCAGCTCAGGAGGCTGTTAAACTGGTAAGTTTTTTCTTCCTTCAGTCTTCACTTTTACTATTTTTTAAGCCCTTTTCCCCCCCTTATTGTGCCTGCCTTTCACAGTCTCTATGTACACATTGTAGCAGTATTTTTTGCATGTATAGTTAGTTGATCAGACTCAGGAGCTTTAAGGAATGTACACATTATAGCAGTATTTTTTGCATGTATAGTTAGTTGATCAGACTCAGGATCTTTAAGGTAGTGTGGCAGATCCCCTGGTCTTTGAAATATCTGGCTTAGTGATTATTTTTTTCGACTTACAGGAATGTTAAAAGGTTTAAGAAAGTGCCTGGCCGGTGTGGCTCAGTGGATTAAGTGTCTGTCCCATAGACTGAGAGGTCCCCATTTGATTCCGGGTCAGGACGAATGCCTGGGTTTACGGCTTGATCCCCTGTAGGGGCATGCAGGAGGCAGTTGATTGATGTTTCTCCCTCACATTGATGTTTCTATCTCTCCCTTCCTCTCTATCTAAAAAAAAAAAAGTTAGGGGGGAAAAAAAAGGTTTAAGAAAGTAACCGCAGTAGGTAGGACTCCCATAGATTCTGGTCATATGAGGGCCATCCCTTTGAAAATATTTCACAAAGACATTGTGATGATAAATTTCTAGTTAATGAAATAAGTGATTTTGTGGCGAGTGACAATACTTGATTTAAACATACAAGGTATTAGGTGAGGACCTAGTGATTTTCCCAACTTTTAAAGAATTCTAATGTTTCATATTATGGTTTATGTAACTCCTTTAAACGAGTTTTATTTAATTCTGTGACTAAAGTTTCTACATTTTATAGTTGAAGGTGCTAAGGGTTAATTTATTTTAAATTTGTTTTGATTGATTTTTAGAGAGAGGAAGGGGGGGAGAGAGAGAGAGAGGAGAGAGAGAGAAACATCGATCAGCTGTCTCCTGAACACACTCCCACCAGGAATGGAGCCCACAACCTGGTCATGTGCCCTCACTAGAAATCCAACCAGGACCTCTTGGTGCATGGGATAATGTGCAACCAACTGAGCCAAACTGCCAGGCTTAAGGGTTAATTTTAAACTAAGAAATGCAAATGGTTCACTATGGTGGATTTTGTTAAATTTACGTTATGGTAAAATTATGGATAATTCTAAGCAAACTTAAAATCCTTAGACAGCTTTCTCCTCCTAAAGTTTATTTTTCCTTCCCTCACTATCAGATATATTGAATTTTAAGGCAAACCTTAAGGAGAAAGAGAAAACAAGTATACTTTGTTTTGTTAGCTATATCGCTTGCATCTCTTCATTGGTGTGTGTAATTGAATATGGTAAAGGTTTAGCATTAGAAAAGTATGCTACTTGGAAGAATATAGGTTTCTTTAGAAAGAGTTCAAGAGTTTAGGTATTTCTTTTTAAATCATGGCTGAGTTTTCCCTCCTTCAGAGAATGCTTCCTATTTCAGAGGGGTATAGCTAGCTCATTCGCTGGTAACCTTTGAGCTGTTCAGGTATAATTAAGGACTTTTTAGAATTCTGGAGAGTTTTACTTTAGAAATTATTCAGTTTAATCTGTAAAAGAACAGATCATTTTTTACCAGGTAGTAATAAAGTAGCAGTTTTAATGGGGAAATGTGTAGGATGATTTTGAAGACAATGAAGTGGTATCTCACTACACAAAGCTAGTACACAATTTAGCCAGTGATGTCAGACCCATTTCATTTATTAGGTTACTACTTAAAGTCTTAATTTTGTTTAATAAGTATAGTTGTGTAATGTTACATGATTTATTTAACATTTTTAAAGGAATCATTAAACATTTGTAGTCCTCTTAATTTTTGCTACCACAATACAGTAATTATGGTAGGTCCTCACTAGAACTTATTTCTAGACAATGTCCAGAGGAAGATGATATGTTACCCAATTGTAATATGATTTTGAATGCCAGTAAATACACATTGTGAAATGTTTAAGTTTGGACAGGTGCCTTGATTTAACAGATAGTAGAGTCCAAAATTGCATTGCTGTAGGCTTTTTAAAATTAGGAACTAACTCTTATTCTAAACTTTTCCACATTTTTTTCTGGCTTTATGATTTGAGTCTTTATTTGGAGGCATACTTATTTTTTATAGAAGGTTTTGCATTTTATTTTGGTGCTTTTAGAAGATATTCTTAGTGGTAGTGGTATATATCCACTGGGATGAATTGACCATAATCATCATTGTTTTTTTTTTAAAAGGATGCTTTACTGTGACTAGGATTATGGTAATAATAAAATTGGGAGATTTGCCTTAATTCAACAGTAAAAGGAAGGACTAGACTTTTGAGGAAATTAAACATTCTAGAAAAAGACAAAATTCAAATTGATTTGGATTTGTTTTGCTCCTTTATATTTGTTTGTGGAAGTAAGTACTCCTCTCCTAAATATATGCCTTAAGGAGGCATATTTTGAAAACGGTTCCTAATTGTGGTACGAAGGTCGATATTTGAATTACAATTCTATCCAAGGTGAATTTCTGTATGAGATGATAGTTGTCATTCTCATTGTAGATAGTCAGATTGAGAAAATGCCTCTTGGGTTATTTATAGATCAGGCAAGATTGAAGTACTATCTCTTTTGGCTTTCCTATACTTTGAGTGTCATGAGGAATACCTTAGATTGAGATGGTTTGTGTATTCAGCCTTAATTTTTGATATGGTTCAGCAGTGATTTTCCTCCATAGATCAAAAGCTATTGTAGATTTTAAATTTGTGTTTGAATTACTTGGAAATGGATTAATTGATGTTAATAGCTGCGGAGGCATAAAGTTAGAAACAACTACAAACTTCTTAAATGACCTCATTTTCAGCCAACATCTGCCTTGTATTTTGGGGAATAAAAAAATTCATCCCTAACTGTTAATACATAGGAGCTGTGCTAGGTGCTCCATTTTTACCTTTAAATACCATCTCAACCCATTCTTCGAGGTACATATGTGGGATTTTCATTCTGCAGTAAATAGGCTGGGTGGCTTGCTGAGGTCATGCTGCTTTAGTTTGATACCAGGTTTGTTTAAGAGTGGCTATTGTTAACTGGACATAATAAATTAAGCCAGTAGTACAAGCTATGTCACCTGGTAGCCTGATTCTTAAGTTTTGTAGTGGTTTAGGTAGTGTTAGAAGCCTGGTAGCCTGATTCTTAAGTTTTGTAGTGGTTTAGGTAGTGTTAGAAGCAGCTCAGAAAGTCCTGTCTCTGTTGCCAAAATATTTTTGGCATCTAACCACTTTTTACCATCACTACTACCACCTTAGTCTAAGGCAGTGGTTCTCAACCTTTTAATACAGTTCATGTTTTGGTGACCCCCAACCATAGAATTATTTTCGTTGATAAATTCATAACACTAATTTTGCTACTGTTATGTATTAGGCAACCCCTGTGAAAGGGTTGTTTGACCCTCAAAGGGGTTGCGACCCACAGGTTGAGAACCGCTGGTCTAAAGTACCATTAAAAGAATCCTCCTGGTTAGTCTCACTGCTCTTTATTACTTCTTCGCAGTCTTTTTTTTTTTCCCTCACCCAAGGACATTTTTTCATTTTTTGTTCAGATAGAGTGGGAGGGAGAGAAAGGAAGAGAGAGAAACATCGATGTGAAAGGGACGCATCGAGTGGCTGCCTCCTGCACATCCCAACCAGGGCCGGGGACAAACTGCAACCAAGGTACGTGCCCTTAGCGGGAACCAAACCCGGGTCTCTCTGGACCGCTGGCTGATGCTCTAACCGCTGAACCAAACCAGCCAGGGCTGCTTCTTCACAGTCTTAAGCATTCAGCAACATAGATCACAAACATTCCCATGCTGAAAACTAATAATGGCTTTATTTATTGATTATTTATTTTTTAATTTTTTATCCTCACCCAGGGACATTTTTTCATTTTTTTGTTCAGATAGAGTGGGAGGAAGAGAGAGAGAGAAACATCGACGTGAAAGGGACACATCGAGTGGCTGCCACCTGCACGACCCAACCAGGGCCAGGGACAAACTGCAACCGAGGTATGTGCCCTTAGTGGGAACTGAACCTGGGTCTCTCTGGATGCAGGCTGACGCTCTAACCGCTGAGCCAATCTGGCCAGGGCAATAATGGCTCTAAAAGAGGTGTCCTCAATTTTTTTTTTAACCTTTCTCCTCCTATTCTTTATTACCCTTCCATCCATACTTTGCTTTTTTTGTCCTTCACATAAGCTATGACTATTTCCATCTCAAGGTTGCCTTCTGTGCTGCTTTCTAACATCTTAACCAGTTATCAGGATTGCTGCCTACTTATCAATCAAGTCTTCTTAGAAGGCCTTTTCTGACTTTGTGTACCAAGCACCCAGTTGCTCAATGATGGTATTCTGAACATGATAAAATAGAATGCTTAGATGTACTTAAAATTATTTCTTTACTTTATAAGTTATTTGCTTATCTCTCATAGAATATAAGCTCTTTTCTCCCCCTGTATTCCCTGACATTTTTTATTTTTTAAATATGTGTTTATTGATTTTAGAGAGAGAAACATTGATCGGCTGCCTCCTGCACACACACTGACTGGGGATGGAGCTCATAGCCCAGGCACATTTCCTGACTGGGAATTGAACTGGCAACCAACCCTTCAGTGCATGAGATGACGCTTAATCTACTGAGCCACACTGGCCAGGGCTGTACTCTCTGATGTTTAGAACAGTGCCACTTTACAGTAGGTTCTGGAAAAATAACCTGACTGGCAGATCAGTGCCATCTAATCCATTATTTATGCCATAAGAATTTATAATATTCCCATATTAGCTGTGGGCTATTTTGCTATAGAAAGGTTTATCTAGTTTCCATTTGCAGTGATTTATTCTGTGCTACCTTTAGTTAAAGGGATTATCATAGATTGATGGGGGTGATGAAGCTTTTCTCCTCACTCCCTGGGGGATATTTGGAAGTATATGTAGCGTTTGGCATTGCCGCAAAGACCAGGAGGAAGGGCAGGCAAATGTGTGTGTGTATTTGTGTGGTGTGCTGTTGGAAT